TCCCGGGAGGTCACCCAGCCCAGTACTATTCAAACCCAAGGACGCTTAACCCCAAATATCCCAAGACCCTTAACCGATTGGAAAAGGGGGTGCACTCTTGTTCATGGGCCCTTTCCCTCTATATTTGAACCCCTATGGATCGTCTCTCAAGTCGTTCCCTTTGGTTGCTTACAATATGCTTAATACTCCACTTTATCTCTGTATTCACCTTCACCAACCATGGCATCCCAAGAATGAAATCCACACGATGAATACCCACGAGATAAAAAGTCTCCATAAGTATGGTTTTGCCAACCAACACTTCCAGCCTCTCGACACAAGCATCAAAATGCTGAGCAGAGGTAACTGCACCTTCCACTGTGTATGGAAGAACTCCGCATGTGACCAGGCCATGCTCCGCAACAAAGTTGTCATTGCTCCCACTATCCAGTAAAATCCACATTGGATCCCCATGGAACACATCCTCTAGCATTAAAGCTGATTCAAGTGTATCCTCTTGCTCTATCTTGTTCCACACATAGTTGAGCTAACAAGCAACAATCGAAAGTATCTTCCTCCGACCGGAATGGTCGTTCTCGTCATCCTCACACTGCATAGTTTGCAACTTTTTAGTATCTGACTTACTGTGAGAAGAAGATTGGCCATTCTTCTTGTCCTGTTGCTTGTTCTTCAACTGCGGACAATCAATCTTGTAGTGTCCAAGTTCGCCGCAATGATGACAACCCTGTCTATAATTCTTCACAAAGAACTTTTGCTTCTTGGACCCCTTTACATCCGAGGTAGTCACCACCGACTTCAACTTGTGATGTTTGTTCCCATCCTTATGTCCATGGCAATTATCACGACGATTCTCAACAAGAGGACTCCGCGAATGCTTACGAGATTTGTGCTTGTCATTGTCAAGTCAATGAGTTGCATCAAATAGCTCCTCCAAACTCTTTGTAAGCTGAGAATGACGCAAGTGTTGCTGCATGCTCTCACTATATAGGCCATCAATGAAGTAAGACTTGTTTTGATCTGGATCCTTTGTTGGAACACAACTAATCAAATGAGTAAGCTTCTCAATATAGTCCCCGAGCATTATTTTCCCTTGCTAGAAGTTCTGTACAAGCATTCTCCATGTCGTAATGAGGGGCAAAACGTAAACGGAAAGCATCCTCAATGGTAGACACTAGTAGTTTCTTATCTGCAACACGGGACTCCTCAAGCCAATTCCACCATCGAAGACTCGCATCACGCAAAACCATCAGAATAGCCACTAAAGCCTCTGCATCTAGAGTTCCCCTAACAACCAAGAACTTCTTCACATTGGCTAGCCAAGTGAGACACTCGTTCACACCACCATCACTGGAAAAAGTTGGAATCTTGAGTTGATCTACCAAAGAAGGCTTACTTGGAGCGCTATCCCGTCCAGCCTCAAGTGCCTCAACACGCCCATGCATGGTATCCATCATGCCATGCATCTCGTCTTGCATCTCTTACTGATTTCGATTAAGGGCTTGCAGCTCATGAACCACATCTTGAATAATCCAAATCTCCACAACTTTGTCGGCACCATCGTCAGCACCACTATCGACAATAGGATTCCAATGTTCAGCTTGGTTAACCATTGCAACCAACCTCCTCTAATACCAATGTTATGATCCGGTGCAAAAAAATAGAGATCTAGTCACCCTAGACTATGTTATACCACCTTTTGAGGTTTCTCACCACCCAACCACCCCCAAGTTACCTCAAAAGCTCCATTGCACCGTCACTCCACTGTGAGCCCTAGGGTAGGGTTTTTGTCCCTTACCCTAACATGCCTTAATATACCCTTGAGCCTCCCTTTGACCAACATTGACCACGTGGTTAAAGCTGGCAATGAGCATGACTACTAGGCCTGCCTGATCCAGCAACTATGAGCCTTTGCCCCTTATCATTTTATTGTTGTAGATATTTTTAAATCATTTAGAAATTCCTTTTGATTGCAATTTCATTTTGATCATAGAGAGTTTATTATGGAAATAAAAGGAAAAAGAAAAATTGAGACAAAAGAAAAACTTTATGAACCTTCCAATTCTTCTGAGGAAAACAAACTTCACAAATCTTCCAAGGAAAATGTCATGCTAATCCTTAAATTTGTGGTCAAACTTGCCATAACACCCAATACAGCTTTTAGTTCTTCCCGATGCACCAGCCAAAGAGTCCTATAAATGAGTAACTGCCTCATACATACCATAAGGTATAGGCTCAAAATGTTCCCACCCTTAGACCACTGTGCCTGCTATATAGATGGCCAAGCTCTTTCTCTTTTCCTTGGTCACAAGTAGTTTGAAGTTGGGTTGCTTGAGCGTTAAGCACAGATGGCACGGAAACTTGGATGCTTCAAATGGGTTGATCTCAAACCCCTCCACCAGAAGCAGTCTGAATGAAAAACTCTTGTTCTATAGCAGATCCTTCATCTTGAAACCATTCCATGACAGTAAAACCTATAAACTTGAGCATGAGAAAAAACAAACTTATATGTTTGGATTGTTTCTTGCCACAATTGATGGAGTACGTTGATCAGATTTTCCATTAAGTCAGATGTATGGGGACCGTCGGGCCATGGAACATGAAACCCCTGAAATGGCGAGCAGTATACAAGCACATTGCATGGAACTGAAATTGGCAAACAGTATACGAGGCGCATTTTGAAACCAAGAGAGGACTAATAGCTCATGCGCTACCGTTGCCATGAGAGACATGGATGGCAGTTCCTTCACATTCTTGCTTGCCTGTAGAATTAAGTTCGAACTTCTATAATGCAAAAGAAATAGCTCCTAGACCTTCTCATCTGCATTGAGCTATAAGGTTTTGTGTGCTTTGGCAATGTAGAGCTCGGGATCAAGTCCGGTAATAAAACCAAGCTCCCTCGCCAGATTTTCATCCCACTGGTAAAAGCGTCTGACGAGCTTTTTAATCACGGGCTTGTTCCTGCGCATCCAAATAATTCAAAACCAAAATCTTACCTCGAGTAGATGAATTTTCCTAGCACTTCTAGAGTAGTATCAGATGTATAAGTCACACAACATTGCTATGCTTTTGTGTGACCACACATTGTTTCTTGCCAGGATAATCTGCTTGCTCTAGTAGAGCATTGACGCTGCAACACAATTATTTTCACTAAGCACACACACAAATCCAAGTAACATGAGAGATGGATAACTTAATCTATTATGTCGGAGGCTTTTAACACGATAAACTAAACTATCCATATTTAAAAAAATTGATACACTAAAACAACCATTTTTTTTTTTTTTTTTGTCAGCAGGTATGCAACAAAAGACAATAGTCCATAAAGTCGCTCGAAAGTAACATCAGAAGGATCAAAATGGAGGAGACTCTGGCTTGACAGAGACTCTTGTTTAGAACCTAGCCTAGAACTCGAATCTTACCCTACTTAGGTCACGAACCATAGAAATTATATTTATAAAGGAGGCTCAAGTTAAGGAAGCGTTATTAAAGTTTGAGACACACCTGTGATAAAATGTACGTATCATAAAAAGTATGGCATGAAGGCGTGTAGAACCAGAGAAAAGCTGAATCCAGGCAGTGAAGGCAGGCGCGCGGCGCGATCAGGGCGAGGTATGTGAGCATTCTCCAGGTTTTCTTGCAATGGAAATACGCTGCCAGGGTCGATTGGCATGGATTTCGAGGTCTAGAGCATGCATTCTAGGGGAATGAAGCAGCATTTGCTTGTAGATCTTCCATTTCTAGCGTTTCTTGCCCTGGGCACACGGATTTCCCTAGCTTGTTCTACGTTTTGCTCTACCATTTCGATTTCCTGGTACTATGGAAGTTCTAAACGTTTCGTTTAGATTTTCAGGATGGCGCCAGTGTATGCAAGTCCAATCTCCATTCCAGCAGACGATCAGGCAGGCGCCGTAGCTGTTCCAGCCTACACTCCTCCGCCTTTGCCGACCGCCAGGCAAGTCAGTGGAGTGCAAGTAAGATGAGTTTCTATGGCAAGATTGCTCGACTGGGAGTCGGCGTGGGAAGGAAGGACGCTTGTATCGTCCTTGTTGAGGGCGGAGTGGGAAGGCTGGTAAGAAAGGGCCACGAATATTGCGTCGTCGCAGCTAGAAACTACTTCGAGGATCAGCACGAGGATAATGGCTGCACCTGCCTTCAAAGTGGCTAGAACTAAGTCACCGGGTGCCTTGCGCATCTGCTCAGGGATTCTGCCTGCAGAACTTTTATGCTTTGTCATTCCGAAGCATGAAGTACGACGGGGTGATGGACAGAATGCCTCTTATAAGACCGCTACTAGAACTCCATGACTGCCCTGTCGAGTTCTGGCAAATCGCAAAGCTCGCTGGTATAATGGACGTGCTCGTGTCCACCGAATGCAGATTTCTCTGCGATCTGGAACATGACAAGCAGGTTTGCACGACGCTTGTATCGGGAAATAACGATGCTGCAGCAGACTCGATACGGGCAATTAGGTATAGATCTGCAGACGGTGAAATCCTGACCATGCAGGACAAGTTTCCGAAACGCCCTCTGTCTCACTCAGATGTTGATGCTCCCGGCTTTCCGGAGGACTATCTCTGACGAGTACAAGATGCTGTCCAATATTCAGCTCCGGCTTTTGGTTATGCCTCCTCAGTTGAAGCCGATGCATCATCCTCGTCACTTTTGGAAGCAGCATTCCCTGGACAAGGTCATGGGCTTCATCATAGTTGATGCAGCGAATGTGGCAGAGCTGATGAAACTGCAGCGACATTCCTTGGGGCAATGAATACTGGTGATAGGCTCAAAAGGAAATTCAGATCTGTGAGACAGTTTGTAAGTGCAGCTCCCTCCATTCAACGGCTAAGTTGCGAGATCTATTAGCTCAAAATTCAGTCCATGCTTACTGCTTACTTTGTGAAGCTCGCTCTTTACTGAGTCTCCATGCTCACCTCTCATTTCAGCCTCTTCTCAGGCCACGAGTGTGGCATTGCTGCTTGGTAAAGCGTATGCTTGTCCTGTTGTTTTTCAGCAAGTTTGATTGGTAAGAGCTTGTATTATACCCACAGAAGCGAAGTCACCATCACCCGTGCCACTTATTCGGTAGCAAGTCACCAAAACCTTGAACTTATCATACAAAGCCCCACTGTTGCTGTTAGCCAGGAATCTTTTCTCACTCTGGTCAATCAAGTGATCATTTCCTCACCTCATTCGTTTTGCGGACTTTTTTCTCTTTGATATCTTCTCCGGTCCAGCAACAACTGAGAAGCCGCCATTAGATGAATTAGGAGGATTGCTATCTGGAGGAGCGGGTGATTGAGCTCCTACCAAGAACTTCTCCGACTTCGCTTCGAACAGGGAGTGTTCCTTTTCTTTTGCCGGATCAAAAGCCACCGAGATCGTCTTCTTCCCATCGTCATCACCTCGTGCTGCTAAGAATCTGCTAGAACTGCCGGCCTCGAAACCGCTCGCGGAGGGAGAAGAAGTTAGCGATGGAGCTCCACCACCACCAAAGTTCCCCTCGAGAATAGAGCTAGCTTTCTCGACCCGTGCAGCGAACTTGTCGATATCGGAGGCTGTCCCATTGGCAAATGAAACCGTAACGCTTCTGGTCTTGGTCTGATCCCTGCTGACAACCAAGACTTAAGAGCTGCTGGAGTTTAGAAAAAGGAATACCTTGTGATGACGGAGGGGGGCGATGGTATCTTTGGTGTTGGCGGCTCTGGACCAGAGCGAGAGCGTGTTGAAGGAAATGTGAAACTCGAAGAAGTTGACAATCCAGTCAGCGGCGCCAAGCCACCACGCTTCGTCTGGAGTAGCAACACAACGGTTACGAAATGGTCGCACTGGAAATGAAGAAAGAATGATAGATACTTGCCTTGTAAAGGGGTGGATTCTCTGGAACTGTATCTGTCGAAGAAAGCACATTTTCTGCCGCCGTAACTCTTTTTCCAGAAGAAACCCTGCTCGCTTCGGTGGTTTTTCTCGCGTCAAGGTCCCTGAAAGGACTTTTCTCCAGTGTGTCAAGGATTCTCCCAGCAGTGCGCGTTGATTGACTAGGCGCGGACAGCTTGAAACCTGTCCTCTCTTTTGTCTTGCGGAAGCAAGTCAAGTCCATCGAGTCGGCATGAGGCTTCCTCTTTTGCGCAACGCTCGGCAGGATACTTGGACCTCTAAAACTCATCGAACCAGTCGGTGAGAGATCCTTCGTGCCACGCGCCAAAGGCGAAGAGTTTTCGGCACTATCCCGCTTCTTCAAAAGCTGCAAAGAAAGCGTAGCGTAGAATTTATCCAAGCAGAGAATGTAAAATACATTACCTCGCGACCACCTGAGATTGGAACCTGAATCGGCGTCCACCGCTGAGCTCGAGACACACTAGTAGACGGCTTGCTTACATGCTCGTCCCCGTAAAACCTCGATCTGATGAGCTTGATGTAGCGCTCACATTGCTCCCTGTGCCGCACAAAGTTACTTCGTGATTGAAAAAAAAGAAGAAACTACCTTGTGAGCTCCTTTTCAACAAGAATGCTCTCAAGGTCATCAGCTTCCACAGGATCACAGGGACCATTCTCGACCCTGACAGGATCACACGGCCCATTCTCAAGCCGGGCATCGTCACGATCATCCTTAGCCACCTTCACAGCGAGAAACAATAAACTAGTAAAGGAAAGAAAAAGAAAAACCAAGAAGAAAAAAACCAGACTACCTGCTCGTTCGAAGGGAACGCTAGTTCCAAAGAAGGTATATCATCGCCAGTTCCATCCAGTTCCACTTCTGCAAGATCAAACCGCAACTTCACAGAAACCCAAAAGAGATCAAACAAACCCACCAGCATTTGGCCGAGGAGGAGCTGCGATAGCCGGAGCTTGGCGCTTGAACAGTGAAGTGTACAAAAATGTAGCACTCTTGGTTAGAATCCTAGATGCCGAGCCTACAATTCTGCCTCCAATCCATCCTTCCTTGCTCTCCGCGAGCGCTGCCGCCTGCCTGGGATGCCTTGCGGCTGCCGCTGGCCTCTCATACGGCGTGCTAATCCTCGCGCTGGACGAAGAACCTTTCTTGAGCTTGAGCTTGCTGCTACTACCGCCGCTACCCGCGTAAGGCGTCCTATCCCCTACCTCCGGCGGCGCCATGGACGATTCATGCCCTTCCATGAAGAACCGCGATTGATCTGGCGCTCATGGCGCGCGTGGAGTAGGAGGCATCGCGCGCCACCGTGCTAAAACCCTAGCTCCTCACAAATGACTAAACCACTCACAATGCGATCAATCGAAACAAAGAGACGCCGTTGGATCGAACAATAGAAGCCCTAAAACCCTAAAAGGAATGGGGGCAATTTAACCCACGGGTAAAAAGTTATGTACAAATAACTTTGTCAAAATGGAAGGGGGCCTAATCTAGGCCGTCCGCTTCCGTATCTAAAATCATCTCCAATCTTCGTCCTCTTTAGATAGCTCGCGATGGGCTGAATCCCACTGTCCTCCACCAGCATCGCCACGGCCTCTGGAGTATCAGGCCCAAAATCTGTCAGCCGAGGCCCCCAGTAGTGGTTCATCCTCATCTCCTCCTCCTCCGCCACGATCGTCGCCCCAATCCTCATCACAAACTTGTGTGGATCGAAGGTCGTCACGCCCTCGGTCAGCGCTGGCCGAAAGATCGGCTTCTGGCGGCTATGGAATCCCGGGATCGTGCCCTCGCTCTCGCGCTTCCTCCTCTGGTAGCGCTCGATCACCCAGTTCCCCGGATCGCCCATTGGATTCCCCATGAAAAGCATACACTGTAACAAGATCTGGGACACCTCGCTCGTGCCTGTCGTTCGCAAAAATCTGGCCAAAAATCCCGGATTCGTGTCCGTGGGCGAGAATGGGTACTCGTCCACATCCATCTCGATCGCCCAGACGCCGGATCGATTGTAGTTCGCGAGGAAATGGGCGTAGGAATTGTCCTGCTCGTAGTGGAAATCCGAGCCCTCGAGCTTGGGGAAGAGCGAGTAGAAGCGGTGGTATGTGAGAGCGCCGGATTCCACATATGGCCGGAGACTTTCTTCCTGGGACTCGGATTCATCGTGGGCGGTGTCATACCAGTAGATGTGCTCCACCCCTGCGCTGCCCATGTAATCGATCCACTGCCGGCATTCGAAAGACGTGATGTTGAACAGATCCGCCGCAAACACCCTGTTGAAGATCACTGCGACGAGGAAGAATCCATCGCGCTTGTGTCCTTTGATCGAGGGGGCGCCCGAATCGCTCCCAAAGTGGACGATTAAGCCCGCAAGAAATATCAGCCATGCTACCAAGAGAAGTAAGCATTTTCTGCCTAAATCGCCGCAGCCATTGCCATGCCAAGACGATCGTCCCGGGGAGAATCGCGCCATAGCTGCTAGCTTGCGCTCGTGCGATGGATCGATAGGGTTGGGTCCGCCCTCGATCAGATGAGATCCATCTCTAAGCTCATCGCGTAAATCTGAGTAATCTCCTCTGTTCAGCAAGCTAAGGGTCAACGTGGAAATTATATCAGAAATCCAATTGAATATCAAATGGTTTGGAGTGCAATCGTGCCAACCACCGTTAACAATATCCTTAATAGTCAATAGTTGATTTTCTTCTTTATGTTGGTGGTGTAGATCTTTTCTTAAACAAGCAGAAGAGAGAGAGAGAGAGAGAGGTGATTGTGAGAAAAATAAGCCAAAGGGGACCCAAAGTCTTTCTTAATTGTCCATGTTCTCAGAAAACAAAATCTTAGACTATGTATTCTTTCTTTCTTTCTTTTTTCCTTTTTCTCTTTCACTTTTGCATTTTGTGTATGCAAGGGGCCCTCCCTGCTCCGGAGTGTCCAAGACACATACTTTTTGTGCTATTGTTTAATTCTATCCAAAAATTTAAAACATCTATGCCGGGTAGTAGTATTACTGCACGGTTTTTGGAAAAATATTTGCGAGCACAGCCTCCGTTAAGATTCATTTCTCTCCTATGTGGCAGAAACCGGCGCTTGTTCCTCTCTTTCCTACGTGGCTCTTATGTGGAACTTGACTTGCGCTTATGACATGGTCCCGAGATGGCTGGCGTAGAAGGATCCAAAGATTTAAAGCACTACAAGTCTTCAAACGAGAGTGGAGCACCTGATATCACTCCCCAGCGAGTGAAAGGAATGGAATCCAGCAGAGTTAGAACTAGCCCAACTGGGTTTGAGCGGGGCGAGCAAACCCACCCTCAAATGTTAAACCACGGCAGCCATCCCTGGACGGATTTATGCAAGGCGAATTATTAAAATGTATGCTGCGCTTTAGGGTTTGGCGGCGGGTAGGCGCAAAAGAATGACAATCCAGTTGCCGCTCTTGTACATCGACATGAGGGCTGTGGACTTCAGTACCCCGAAGCTGGCTGCTAAACAAATTGCAAGACAGATGGACTTCTTGGCTCCTTGGTGTGTCATCGGCCCTTCTAAAGACGATCGGGCCTGACGTTCAGGGGCGTAAACGTTGACGAGCTTTCTCCATCTGCCAGATGAAGAACCAGTGAAGGACTTGGGCTCTGTCATGGGCTGGTTTATGAGCCTGGCGATTGAAAACCAGCACAGGAGGCCAATTTTCGTCATCGATGAAGCTGACAGGTTGAAGCAGTGGTCCAACAATGATGTAGCTACTCTCCTGGGATGGTTTGTAGCCATGACAAAGCAGGACCGGACTGCGGTGGTGATTATGTCCAGCTCCGGTGACTTTTTTCTGGAACAGTGGTTCCAGAGTCATAAAAACGTTCCGCAATGGAAGCCTGGGGCACTTTAGTGAAAAGAATGGACATTTGTGGCTGCCCTTTTGCTGCTTGAGAGCTGTGTGTTCGACCTGGGATTCTAAAAGGCATGGTAGTGGCTGAGTTGGCCAAGATTTATTTGGGACTGGAGCATGGTCGCGGCTGGGAACAGGCCAAGTTCAGGGAGGTGATGAAGCTCATTGTGGCGCATGTTTGACGCCGTGTCTTCAACGGGGATATCGTCGAGTGCCTGCAGCAGGTCAAAGCCATGCTCTCTTGCAACCTGATAAATGTTCGGCTGATTGGTTTACGATGACCTCGAGGACTTCCACAAACCTGCCAACGTCTGTGACTTTATCATGGCAAGGTCTCCTGCTGTCGCTATGAAAATGTTTTGTGCCGGTGAGTTTGACGATCTGACGGTTAAATTTTAAGATGTATGTATATTCTTAAATAAATTTGTTTTGCCGTTTGCTTTTCAATACAAACATGATTTTGATAAGACTTTTCTTGTTAGATTGTTGATGTTGATAATATATGGCAAATGAGCAACAAGCATTGCCCCAAATGGTATGTTGCTCTATAGCTCGCAGAGGTCCTGTGCTACTCAAGTCGAGAAAGAGGTCAATGCCAATCTCTCTACCAAGATCAAGCTAAAGTTTCTGGAGATAGGGATGACTTGAGCTCGAGCTCTATATACCAGGGACATGTTTGGTCTCGTGGATCTATATGTGAAGTCCTCGACTGTTGCTGGGTTTTTGTATGCACCGATACACCTTTGTACTTGTCCTTTATATAAGAGCAGTTTTCTAGGGCAGGGAAAAGCTATGGAGCGGCCGTGGAGTTCCTTAAAGCAGTCATGGAATTCTCAAGGAGAGGCGTGAAACCTGACTGGATAGAGGTGGATTATGGGCCTTATGGCATCCATCGACATAAGGATTGTAGGCCTAAACAGGTTAAATCTCAAGAGGAGTTGGAAGAGATTGACAAGAAGAAGAAGGAGCTGTGGGAATTGGAAATGTATTTGGCACTATTTGCCCCGGTTAGCTATGTGACTCATTTTCGGGACAAGTGGCACTAGAAATTGTCCACCGGACAATACACTGACAATAGACCATCCACTGGCTAAAGAGTCGAGTCATATTCTGCAGATGTCACTTGCAGTGGTTGTCGTCGTGTTGATGGGCCCAGCAAGGCAAAAAATTGATGCCCTTCAGGCCCTTTTTGAGACATGTGTTTTTCCAAAATGCCCTTTAAATATCCAAAATTTCTTTCACAATAGAACAAAATATTCTTTCAGAATATTTTCTCTTTCTTAATGGACAAATGAATATTCCAAATTAAATACAGTGTTTCTCTAGACATCTTCTCTCAATTGATTGGAGTTTAGATTGCAAGCCATAATTGTCTTGTTTAGGGTACATTTTTATAGAGAAGAAAATGGAAGGGCAGTAAGAATCTTCATCCAATTCTAGAAGGTATGCATATTATACATTGAACCTTTTCTATTTCCATGCATTTAACTTATAGATCTTAGGAAAATGCATGGCCCATTGCTGAACTAACTTAAGAAAGCCTAAATAACCTTACAGGAAATATAAATGGAAGAAGATTATACATCAAAAAAGCAATGGCCACTCAAAAGATTCTCAACCAATTGGACTCTTTGCTATCCTTGGGCTTTTAATAAAACTAATGACAAAGGTAAAATAGATTTAAACTTTTTCTTTTCTTAATTCTTTTACATATGGGACTTGAGATTTTTTTGTGCTTGGTGTATCTAAGCTATGAAAACAAATGTTTTTACTATAGTAGGATCTACTACTATTCAATTGGGAAGTTTGAAAGATCATCATAATTTTAGTGATCATGCAGCTTCAAAGAGGGATAGAGATTAGAAATGATGATTTGAAAAAGACAAGTAAGGGAGAATAAAGGCATCAATAAGTAATTTGATTTCACAGGAGGAAAGGAAGATTATATAAGATTATGAAAGTGAGTCATACTTGTGCTACTCTAAACATACCATTACACAGATTTGAGAGGCTTTGTGAAAGTTATAAGAAAATTAGTATTTCAAATTTCTGAAGTGGTGGTGAATAATTCTTACACGAATCCAATTTCAAGGCAAATTGCTGGATAGATTCAAACCTTATTATCTAGTTTTTTTTTATCTACTACTGAATTTAGAAAGCTAGAGTACTAGATATATGGATAAATTATTTCTTATGTTTTGAGTTATAAGGAGATTCCTTGTAAGACTAAAGTTTTGGATTTAAATGCAATATTAAATATACAAAGAGGATCACTTGAAAACTACAAAAATATTGCAAAAAAATACATTCAGGAAGTGGTTAATAGTCTTAACTAACATTTTGAAAATCTCTCATTTTTCAACAATTTAAAGACTTTTCATCTTTGTTCAATTTTGGATGATTTAACAAAGAGGAGAAAACAAACTCGACTTCAGCTAAAGAGACTTTTCAACAAAATTAATTATAATCAAACAATTGT